TTTTTTTTTTAAATGTAGTTGCACTTTGTGATTCGTGACAAGCACATTTTTTTTCGAAGTGCTATAACAATTTAATGTATTTAAATAATATGGAAGCACTTTGTGATTAATAATAATTCACATTTTTGTTTCACATCGTGCACAATTTTAAACGATCGGATTCATTCTCATTTTTAGATCGCTATTTTATTTTATTCAAACTCTATTTATTTTTAGTGTATTTCTAGACGATTAATGCACATAAATTACTCCCTCCGTCCCAAAAAGGTTCGCCAAATTGACTTTTCTTAGTTAATGACAATCAACTTTGACTAATGATATTGTTAAATACGAAATTATTTAGAATATGAAAATTACATCAAAATGTTCCTTATTTAAAATATTTTCATAAAAGTATAAAACTTATAAAATATATTCAAATATAATAATGAAAATCATTGTCCAAAGTTTGTCATCGTTGACCAAAAAAGTCAATATAACAAACCTTTTCGAGATGGAGGTAGTATTGTATAAAACTATCAATTGCGCAAATCATTGCACTCACGTGACAAATGAGAATGACGTAAAACGATACACATCTTTGCTAATGATGGTGCACATTTATGGTAAACAAAATGCACATTTTAAAGTGGTATAACAATTAAATTTATTTTAAAATGTATTTGCACTATGTGATTTGTTACAAAAACATTTTTGTTTCAAATCATGCACAATTGTTACGATCATATTTATTCTCATTTCTCTTTTAGGATATGATTTTATTTGCAACGATTTCTCATGTGATAAATGAGTGCCCTAAAACGATGTAAATCTTGATTAATGATGTTGCAACTTTATGGTAAACATAATGCACAGTTTAAAGTAGCAGTATAGCAATTTAATTTATTTGAAAATGTAGTTGCACTTTATACTTCATCACATACAAATTTTTGTTTCAAATTATGCACAATTGTTAACGATGAGATTCATTCCCATTTTTGTTTTAGGATATCGTTTTGGTGGAACAATTTTTCACGGGACAAATGAAAACGATATAAAATGATGCACATCTTGGTTAATGATGTTGCATATTTATGTTAAAATAATTCATGTACAATTCAAAGTGGTATAACAGTTTAATTTATTTAAAAATTAAAATGTGGCTGCATTTTGTGAGTCATAACAATGCACATTTTTGTTTCACACCGTGCACAATTTTTAACGATCGAACTCATTCTCATTTATCTTTTAGATTGATATCTTATTTTATTCAAACTCTATTAATTATATCATTTAATGTTTTAAATGTAATAAGTATCGAACTATCTATTGTGATAAATGTTTACCTACAATGTGCATTATTCTCGCAATAGAGTGCAACTCTATTATTCATGCATTGCTACCAAAATAATTGTGCATTTACATTGTGTCAAATAAACAATTGTGCACATTCATACTTTCAAGTAAATTGTCAATTCTGGTTCGTATTTAATTTTATAATTTTTATTATTGCTAGCTTTAAGATGTATGCACTTTTAACAATATTATTGTGTAATTTTTAGTTCATTTTTTAAATAATCTATTGTGCACTTTATCTTTTTTACAATACACATTTTGAAAAATAACTCGTTCTAAAGAGGAACGAGGCTTATTATTATTATTATTATTATTATTATTATTTAAATGAAACTAAGAAGTATTATTAAATAATAATTATATTAAAATGCACCATCATACATAAAAAGTGCAAACCAAATAACTACGTTTTGAAAGAATATAGCTATTGACAATGAATGAATTATGTTTTCAGTAATTATTTAAATAAAAGTTAGTTCTGTAGGTAGAATACTCCTAATTGGAGAAAGCATTTAAATGTACCCCCAAAAATTAAAAAAATGTTGACCAAAAGGGTTGACTTGCAATTATTAGAAAGTTGAAAAGTCAATGAGGTCATCGAGTGCACGGTCCTCGGCTTCCCTCTTTTTTGATTTCCTCTTTACTTCTTTGAGCGAGGAGTGTGGGATCCTTTTTTCAGGCTCGGCCGAGGGGGTTGCTATTCCCTTGGCCGGTAGGGAGTCCAGGAGGGCGGTTGTTAGTTCTCTGGGGCTGGATCGTCTCTTGATCTTGGGATGTCCCGTTCTCTATTTACGGTGCAGGATAGGCTTTTGGTCGGTTACCGACGGCTTCCGTTTCCCAACCCCAAGTGGGGGGATTTTTTCACCTCAGCCATTCTTTCAAGCATGTCGCCGTGCGATTTAGCGCGAGGACGACACGGTGAGCTCCCTGTTTCAAGACGCGGGCCATTTTGCGGGCCCTTCATCCTAGACATCATCGGCCATACCTGGGCATTTCACCTCGAAGGGGCCGATACGATGTTTGGATTGTGTGGCATCGTCAGCCATACCTGAGCGCTTCGCTCGTAGGGGCAGATACGATGTGTTGTGCTATGTGGCATCCTTTACTTAAATTTACAAGAAATAAGCGAAACACAATAGGTGCGTTGTTCATGGCAACAACTTTTATTAAGATCAGTGGCTCGAGGCCGAGGGTGGTAATCTTCTCAACAACCCTTTTAGGAGTTGGCTTCTCAGTGAGCTTCTAACCTTGGGGTGAGGGCTCTGCCCGTCTGCACCCGCTTCGGCTTGCTGAGAGCTTCTGACCCATTAGGGTGTGAGTTTGTACGTGTCGTTCTTGATTGCGGCACTGATGATGTAGGACCCTTCGTATCTTGAGGGCTAATTTTCCGCCTTCCTTCGGCTTGCTGGCTCAGCCGTCCATCGGCTTGCGGGTAGAACTTCACCATGTAGGCTCAACCGCCCGTCGGCTTGCTGGCTTCTCTTCGGCGAAGGACATATTCAGTGGATGTGGCGCTTCTTCGGCTTGGGCTCCTTGAATTCCTCGTCATCACTGAGCCTCCCAATTTCACGCTTCTTTATCGAGGTGTTTCCGTCCTGATTGTCGGTGTTCGCCCGGGTGTTTTTTTCCCTGGGGTGCCTTTAACAAATTGGTGGAGTTCACCCCGTTGGATCAAGCGCTCAATGGCTTTCTTCAGCGCGACGCAATCGTCTGTGTCGTGGGAGGTGTTCTTGTGGTAACGTCAATAAGTGTCGCCCTAGTGGATGGCGTAGATTTCTTTCGCCGACCGAGGATCCCTAGGAAGGAGATCATGCTCCTCTGCGTAGTCGAGGATGGTGCTCAGCGAGCGTGTGAGGGGAGTCCTCGGCATGTCTAGCCTCGGCCGCCATGGGCACTCCTTCCGGCCTTGGCGGGCCTGGCCTCCATGATCTCGGCCCCCGGCCGAGGGTGCGGTTGGAGCCGGCGCATTGTGTGTCTTCTTTGATGGCTGGCCTCTATCCTTCTTGTGGGAGTGGAGCTCATTGGAGTCAGTATACAAGTTCCCTCGCTGGAGTGCCTTGGTGTATGACCTCGACGGGTCAGTGATGAGGCTCCGTGTGTAGGGGCTGCTGCGGAGAACGCCCTGGAAGAGGACGAGGAGGGTGCGCTCATCGGCACCTTCGACCTCGTCTGTCTCCTTCGTCCATCGGTCGATGAAAGACCGGAGTGATTCATCGTGTTGCTGTTTGACGGAGAGGAGATGGGAGAAATGTTTCTTCACGCGCTTCCTTCCGGCGAAGTGGGTGAGGAAGCGTTGGGCAAGATCTTGCCATGAGTCTACGCTTCCTTCGGGCAGCGCGTTGAACCATTCGTACGATGGTCCCTTAAGAATGGAGAGGAACCAACGACAGAGGTATTCATCAGACGCATTCACCATCAGCATGTTGTTCTGATAGCGGCTGAAATGCTACTGGGGTCGGTGCGCCATCATAGGGCTTGATGGCATTCCCTCGGTACTTCTCGGGTATTGGGGTCGAGAGCACCCTTATGATGGGGTCATCGCGCCCCTCGCCTGCTCCCTCTCCAAGGCACTAAGCTTGTGTAAGAGGGCATCGTAGCCAGGATCCCTGGACGTAGTGGCCGTACGTGCATCAGCCATTTGCTTTTCCTCCATCTGAGCGAGCCTCCTTTCGAGATGGGCGATGACCTCATCTCGGGGGTCCTTGGCGGTCGTGGTTGCGCCTTGGGTTTGGTTGCGCGCTGCGTGAGTCGCATTGATCTGGTGACGTACGTCCCCTTCGTGCAATTTGCCCTTGCCCTTGTCAAGACAGGGCCGTTCCGCTGCCCGGGATACGGATCCCAAGCTTTCCTTCGGTGAGCCAGGCTCACGTTCACCAATCCGTCCCGCTAGCTTCTCTGATGATGGACGACGATGCTCGTCCCCTAGCCTATTGAAGGCCGAGGCTCTACGCACTGAGGTCGGTCGAGCTCGGGGAGGGGAAGCGGGATCGGAGCGGGACGCCGTGTTCTGTGCCATGACCCCCTTATCGTTTCTGACGTTCATGATCAACGGATGAGGGGGTGGTGGAGTAGTGTTGTCCCCCGTCCTTGGCATAAGCATGCTGAGGACGGTGGGGTTCTGAGCTAGGCTGGCTATGATGGCCGATAGAGCGGCCTGGAGTTGAGGGTCAACGGTGGGAGTAGTCTGTTGCCCCGATGCATGATCACCCTTGTCCATGCGCTTCTTCTCAAGGCCGATGCAGGCATCTTGAGCGGTGATGTTGAGCTGATTACGAAGGTCAGTCGTGGGGTCGATGGTCTCCTTAAAGACCTCCTCGTCCCCTACCTTGTCGGCCGTAGCGTCGTCTGACTTTTCCCGATCGTCCTGGGTCTCTGGTACAGCTTTGCCGATGAGGTTACAGTTTGACCTTGTTCTTCCCATTTCAGTTAGCTTGTGCTTGGTAGCGACAAAGGATGATAACTTGATTGTTCTAGCTCTCAATGAAATCACCAAATGATAGAGTATATGTCTAGAGAGAAGTGAGAACTAGAGAGAGAAGTGAAATTAATATATTTGCTAACTCTTTGCAACTACCCCCAATAGGAGTATTTATAAGGAAAACATGGACTGAGTTCCCAAGTCTTAGGCTTGGGAGGCCCATTACAATATAAGGCCTCTATTGGGCTGAGTACATTCGAATATATAAGCTAAGTATGGAAACCTGGCTCTGTGAGCTCCCTATGGCCGACGAACGTCTGGCTGACAGAGGTGTGGTAGACGAAGGCCTGGGAGACGAACGTCTGGCTGACGAAGGTGTAGCTGATGAAGGTCTAAGCGACGAATGTCTGGCTGACGGAGGTGCGGCAGACGAAGGTCTGGGAGACAAGTGTATGGCTGACGAAAGTAGTGCTGAAGGCCGTACGTCCCCGGGGACCGTTATGCGCTGAAGGTCGTACATCCCCGGGGTCTTCCAGGTGGTGAAGGTCGTGCGTCCCCGGGGTCTTTATATGTCGAAGGTCGTACATCCCCGGGGTCTTGTTTGCTGTGTTTGGACCACTTGGGCCTGTTGGGCCTGTTCAATTACTTTACCGAATTTTGTTCACAAGTCTTATTTTAATACTCCATAATATTTTAAGAAAAGCTCACTACATGCCATGGACGAAATTAAATGATTTATTTGTATTGGATTAAAATTAATTTCAAAAAGTCACCACAATTGAAAATCATCGTACATCATTTTTAAGAGATTCAATCCTCTCTTCATCTTCCTTCAAATTCGTCATTCAAAATATTTAGATACTAGTGTGATTTTCATCATAAATAGGATCATCTCTTCCTTGGATGATTGATAGCTTTCGTAAAAAAGTGTTGAACTCCTCATTCTTAGACACCATACTTATCCTTGCAAAATTGCTTTCAACCCCGAATCTGGTTCCGATTCTGGCAAGAATCTTGTGATCCTTCAGTAGATCCACACAATCCACCTCTCCCTTGATTGTCTTCATCCATGCAAAAGCTGTTTGCAAAATAATCTAAAATCAAAACATGCACGCTTTTCTATGTTATTTAAATAAGCAATAAATGGTAGATAAATTATGTGCGATAATCACTCTCGATATTCTAGGACTTCGACATACTATAATTCTAACATAAATCATGACAGTGGCATATATTCATCACCATCATCATTATTTCAGTGTCGCAAAAGCTCCCACCAACGATAACATAATAAGAGGTCGGAGGTACGCAACCCTACCCTTTACTAAATCACAGAGAGACTTTTTACGAATGGATGGACCGTTGCTTCATAATAAAGAAGCACAAACAGTTTAGTGGGTCATTTTGCTTTATTTCATCATACTCCCAAAGCAAAAAACAATGAGACTTTGACTCCATCGCAAATATGAACCTAAAACCACAATTGTTATGAACTAGCAATCTGCTTTTAAAAATATACCTGGAAGTGTCTCAGTCATGGCTTTGGAAAAATGGCAGAATAAAACGGGGTATTTTTGGACATGGAATAGATCACTACCCTTCACAACTTGTCTTAACCTTTGCCATCTCTCCTTCAACATATTTCCGCTATAAGCAAAGAAGTCATCATCACTAAAGCAACTATCTGAAACAACTCCAAGGATCTTAGCTGCTCTCAGTTGGGAGTCTTTAGATACCCCAATTGTGCTCACCTCTATAAACTTTGTCATCTTCTTTGCAACTTCTTTATCCCTTACAATTGCCCAACTACAATTCACACATAGATCGCCACATTCTATTATAATAAGAACAATATAATAATACAACAATCACTAGAAAAGTAGTTGTTTATTTTGTGCTCAACAAGATTTGTTTAGATTCAGTATTATAATTAGCCTCGAGTTAAACCCGTAGAGAGATAAATAAACATAAGAGAAAATCACACTTTTAGTCCCTGAAATAGTCACCATATTAAAATGTCAGACCCGTATTTCTGAGATTGTGAATGTCACCCCATAATTTTCCAAATTGCTATAAATGTGGTCTTTTGAAGGGTGAAATGTACTCCTCATCCACATTGTACATTTCACCTCTCGAAGGAGTGTGGTCTTTCTAATACTTTAAAAAGAAAGTGACAATTTTTATACAAAATAGAAAAGAAATGTTGACATGGTCGAGTGAGACTGGAGAAGTATGAAGGGAGAATTTGAGACTGGAGAAGGGAGAATTTGAGTTTGCACCCCATGTTTTGGATGATATTTGACTTTGCACCCCATTTTTATAATCATTCATGTATGCACCTCATTAGCTCAAAAATTGTGAAGGAGTGTGGTGCAAAGTTAAATGATTTTATAGTGAATTGGGGTGCATACATTAATGATTTTGAAAATAGGGCGCAAATTAAATATCACCCAAAACATGGGGTGCAAAGTCAAATTCTCACATTGTTTAAATTGACCATCCCCAACATTTCATCTTGCCTACACCACTCAGCACAAAGAGTGTTATATATGTAATGAAAAATGCTACTGATACACGTTGGGTTACATGCCGAGTGCACAAACAATTGATTTTGATTTTAGTAAAGGAAACTGTTTCTGACCCTGAAAAGGAGAATTGTTTCGGGTCACAGAAAAGGTGACTCCCACTGTGCACATACAATGATACAAGTCAAGATCATTTAATAAAATGAAAATTAATTATATGATCACAGACAATTTCATTTACTAACATGAAAATTAATTATATGTGCACAAACAATACACACTTGGCGTGTAATCCAACTAGTGACTAATTAAGTGGTATTAAGCATCATTTTTCAAGAGCAATAATCTACCTAAGTTCACGTATTCATCAATTAGTGACTAATTAAGTGGTAAGAAAGGGTTGTTATGCCTTTAATAGGTGATTCAAAGCTACAGATTATTAAAAGAAAAAGATCAATTTAATTACCCAATTCTTGATCCAGCATGGCCGGTGCACTTGGAGAAGGTGAAGAGCATAAGGTCGTGGGTAGGTGCAGAGGAAATTGCAGTGTAATGCGGTCAGTAATAGGCAAAGTCATAAATCACAGTTCCTTGAGGTCTATTAACCACAGGTTCCCTAATGACCCCATCAGGGTTATTTGGAGTGGTTACCAGCTCTATATAAGATTCCACTTTATCAAAATTCCTTGCATCTCCTCCCCATTTGTAGCTCCTTGATCTTAGTAGGTTTGCAATTTCTGGATATGACTGCAAGAGGCAATCTTAGAAGCTTTATTACATCTGATACCATATTAAGATTGTATTTGGGTGAATGAAATGAAGTAAGTCTATTGTCTGATTTGAAAACTATTATTTAGATTTGGATAAAATTGATGAAACTGAAATGTTTAATGAATAAAGTAGACTCATTTGGTTACATGGATGATATAACGACTGGAGTTGTAAAATTATCATAAAAACAAATGTCGTCCTATAGAAACATAATAAAATTTGAATAGCAAGAGGATAAAATTGACATATACTTCGTATTTGTTGTAAATAAAATTGACATATACTTGTACTTCGAAGCGGAATGCTGATTGCGACATACCCTATAAAGTCATGCTTGAAGGAAAATGAAATTATGCCATATAGATTAGTGGAAAGTAACGAGAATGATACGATGAAATAATTCAAAATATAATCAAAATAAAAATAGTGGACATAAATGTGACTTTGATATTATAGTGAATATAATTGTATTTAAATATGACATTGAAAATAGTAAAATTGACAGATTTTTAACTTAGATATCATAGTGATAATAAAACTGACTCATAGTAACTTAGACTCACATTTTTATTCATAACTTTTTATGAGTACTATTTTATGAAAAAACTCAAAAATAATCTCCTCTCTTTTTCACAACACAATTATATTTGGGTTATTATGCCAAGGAGTCTATATGACAGATTTTGTTTGGATTTTCTGATCTTTAATGTCAATATTTGCCATTGTTGTTCATAATTACCTACTTATAGTATACACTAACAGAATAACTCATTATTCAAGTGGTACACATTAAAATAAAATGTACAATGATCTAAAATCCAAGAATTATATTTGGGTCATTATGCCAAGGAGTCTATATGAGAGATTTTATTTGGACTTCCGGATCTATAATGTCAATATTTGCCATTATTGTTCATAATTACTTACAAAGTATACAATAACAGAATACCTCATTATTCAAGTGATACACATTAAAACAAAATGTACAATGATCTAAAAAAATATGTTGCTCAAAGTATTAACAAAATGTTAACATTATAAAATGTCTAACGATTTATATGTTGCAGACCAGAACATACCAGTTCAGACCAGAATTAAACAGACCATATCAGACCAAATCAATAAATTTTAGTCCAAGTAAAAACATTCTAATAGTAGACATGTATTAATACTTGTGTTTCAAAATAATTGTCTTACTTATTTTATTGATCCGTGCAAATTTAATATTCACATATTTTTGGAAAGAAATTTACTCAAAAATAGCTACACATTATACTTTAGTATCAAAAATCTATTTTTACAAATGTGATACCTGAAGTTTAAATTACACGGTACACCTCCAAACACATTTTAAATTAAGGGAAAATAATTCAAATATCCCAAACTTTAATGGGGTGTGAGGTGTCCACCCAAACTTGCATATGTAATATGTATACCTCTAACTTTATATAAAATATTATTATCGCACCATGATTATATGTTTTTTTACAATACAAATTTATTGGAAAAATTATATAATTTAAAATACTTTAAGCCTTGTTAGAATGCATGCAATTAACTTTCTAAAATTTCATCAATGAAATAAATAATATTGCATTCGATACAATTTAGTTTTAATTGCATCCTCATAATTTTTTTGTATATTTAAAATTATGTACTTAACACCATAAAATTACATTTATGGAAAAAATTATGATCATGATGCTAACATAACTTTTTATAAAAAGTTTGAGGTATATATATATTACATGTGCAAGTTTGGAGTACTTATGTCACAATCCATCAAAGTTTAAAATATTTAAATTATTTTCCCCTATAAACTATAGTTTTTGCCACTTTTCAGTCCTTAATATTTAATATTTTGTCCACACTTTTGATACTCGACTTTAATGTTTCTATTTTTAGTTTTTCAAATTTTTGAGTGAGACACTTTTGGTCATTGACTTTGAAATTCCTACATTTAACCCTTTCACTATCATTTTATCAGAATAAGTAGATGATAAAAATGCAACTATGATAGTAGTTGAAAGAGTTTCTTCCATTTTTAGTCCCTTAACTATTGAGTCAGTGACACTTTTGGCACTCGACTTCCAATTTTTCCATTTTTTATCCTCAACTATTGTGCAATAGACACTTTTAGTCATCGACTTCAATGTTTTTCATATTTAATCCCATGAGTATTATAAAATTGACACTTTTAGTCCTTCCACAATGAATTTGACACCATAAGTGGAGGACTAGAAATGTTACTATCATAATAGTTGAATGACTAAAAGTATCAGTTTTATGAAAGTCGAATGACTAAATGTAGAAATTTTTAAAAACGTGTAACAAAAGTGTCTGTAGCACAATAGTCGATTAAATGTTAAAAAAATTAAAATGTGGTACTAAAAATTATGATACTTATATAATTGGGTATTGGCATTAAATGGTGTACAATGTACTTGATTGATTAATGTGGGACCAGTTTCAAAATAGAAAAATGATATTTGTTCACATTATATTGTCCTACTCACTTTTATAACCATCATGTCTATGAAAGGATTTATTTGTCGATAAATCCGGACAAAATATGACTTAGGGAAAATCGCATTTTTAGTCCCTGAAATAATCAACATATTGAAATGTCAGATCCGTATTCCCGAGTTTGTAAAGGTCACCCCTCAATTGTCCAAATTGCTGTAAATGTGGTCCTTTGAGGGTGAAATGTACATTGTGGGTGAGTAGTACATTTTACCCTTCAAAGGATCACATTTAAAGCAATTTGGACAATTGAGGGGTGAAAATTACAACCTCCGAAATATGGATCTGACATTTCAAAATGACAACAATTTCAGGGACGAAATGTGCGATTTTCCCTATGACTTATTTTATCTGTGCAAAATAAGATTGGATATAAGGTGAACTATAAGGATATGCATAAGAGTGAAACATTGGGGCAACAAGGTTCTTCAAAATATAAAACACTAATGTAGAAAAAATCTAAATTTTCAAACTTATATGCTCCGTATTATAATGATGATGGGACGTTGGGACTAGGATAGGAGAAAAGTTAAAAAAATATGTTGAATTTAAGAAAGATTGAGTAGCTAGGTCTTCCAAGAAAAAGATATACTCGTAGTAGGGACATATATGGAAAAGAGTTGAGGACGGGTTGGGAGCTGACCGAATAATAAGGAGCGGCGCAAACGACGGAAAGGGGCTGATCTGGATCCGGAGAAGAAAGGGCGTAAAGAGCGGCCTGAATCAGCTGGCTCGACCCACTTCCCACCACAATACAGTCCTCTTCTCCAACCGCCGCATTTCCAACAATTCTGTGAAGCCGCCTTATCTCTGCTTCTAGCTTCGGCTCCAGAAACCAGCACACGCTCTTTGTCTCAGAAAAGTAGCTTAGTGACTGACTTCCTGGAAAAGTTATGGTGCTTCCTTCACTCATCTTTTGCCAGTATGGCACAAACATTGTTGGGTCTCCACTACAATTATCATACAAGAAATCTTACATTATTATTCAAGATCCACTTTCATAACATCACATACAAAGATGATTCCACTTCTTGTTCCATTCGTTGTACAAAGAAGGTCTCATATCGAATTTGGTAAAGTTTGAGCAAATCTAAATCATTCTTGATTTACCTATTTTGTCAATTTAATATAAATCACGTAAATTCGATTTTCTTAACACTTACACAATTTCCTCATGTTAGTGGGACGGAAGTAAAACAATTTTTAATTATTTACCTCACGCCGGTTTGATATACAAGTTCTTGGATCACTCATTCGATGATTTTGAGAAGAAGAAGAACTTACTGGTCAAGGTTGACAATAGCATCGGCATTAAGTTTTCCATTTTCAGCAGCGGAAGGAGAGACTTGGAAAGAGCTCTTCGCAGCAGAAGTAGTTTTAACCGTCATACCCATTCTCCGTTGTGAAAGAACCCCCTAATTCTCTTCCTCGTGTCTTCATAATCATTGAATATATATACATTAAATATTACATTTTTTTCCAAAAAATCTCCCCACTTCCTTTTTGGATTGGATTGGTTTACTTAAATGGCAGCAGAACTTATTTACCTTAGTATATTAGGTCGGATTAGTTAACTTAAATTGTGGTAGAACTTATTTACCTTAATCATTCCAATATTTACTTATGGATTCGGTAGGCAGACCAAATCTAGTTTTCTACTTTATTTTATAATAACACAGTACATAACAATATACTATCGTAGTATTGCATTCAACCCAAATGATCCTTTTTAGAATCCAAAAATTGGGGAAGGCAATATAATAGTGACGATATTATATTGATATACTTTGTACAGGTGACACGTCTATGCAGCAACATATTTTTAGGAAGCCCAAATGGACCTTTAATTATCTGGTTATATAAGATCTTGCTATATACGACACTGTTAATTTTGGAAAAAACATTCCAAATAATACTGAACCAAGTATTCATAGGGAAGACATTTCTTATTTAAAAGAAGCTGAAATGTGTAATTTTCAAACATATACTTTTGTTTAAATTAAACACTTAGGACACGTTTACTTCACGGGTTAGTAATCTGCTTATTAAGACTCGTGTTAATAAGCGGTGCATAAAATAAGCAGTGTTGTAAGCTCATGTTTACTTCAAAGGATTTAAAACACCGTTTAACATTAAAATGTCCAAAATAACCCTATAGATATATATACACACACAAACATTCATGAACACAAGTATATAATATAATATGTGGGGTCACCTCGTACGCTTAGTCGCTTACCCACACCCTTAAACCCTACCCCGCCCTGTACCCCCACCCCTCACCCTACCCCCAATTCCACACCCTTGACCCCCACCCCTTTCCTACCCCTACCCTTACCACGACCTTAGCCTCCACCCATACTCCCACCCATACCAACCCCCCACCCCACTTGTAAGGGTTGGGTCGAGGTGGGGCCAGGTGATATGGGGTAAAGGAGTAGGGGTAAAGGAGTAGGGGTAAGGGGTATGGTCGGGTCAAAGGTGGGAGTCAGGTCGAAGGGTCGGGGTTGGGGTTGGGGTCGAGGTCAGAGGTGGGGTCATGTAGGGGAAGGTGGTAGGGGTAAAAGGGTAGGGTCGAGGTAAGGGGTACAAATGGGGGTAGGGGTAGGGTGGGGGTAGGGGTAGGGGTAGGGGGTAGGGGTGGGTCGGGTCAAGGTAGGGGAAGGTGGTAGGGGGTAAAGGGGTAGGGGGTGGGGGTGGGGTAGGCCAAGTGGTGGAGGGCAAATGGGTAGGGGTTTGGGTGGGGTGGGGTAGAGGTAAGGGGGTGGGGTGGTAGGGTAGGGGTTGGGGTAGGGGGTAAATGGGTAGGGTCGGGGTAAAGAAGCGGGGGTAGGGGGTGGGGTTGGGGTCGGGTAAAGGTAGGGGAAGGTGGTAGGGGTAAAGGGGTAGGGTAAGGGGTGCGGGTGGGCTAGGGTAAGGGGTGGGGGTGGGGTGGGGTTGAGTAAGGGGTGGGGGTGGGGTATGGTCGGGTTAAGGGTGGGGTCGGGGGTTGGTGTCGGGGTAAGGTAGGGTAAGGCGGGGTAGCAATAGGGTAAGGGCAAGGGGTAAAGGTAAGGCTATTTTTGGCAGACATAAGTTTCTGCCTTTTAGCTTTTGTACTGTTAAAAAAGTCTATAAAAGCTTCTAGTTGTATGTTTGGCATGACAATTTTTAAAAGCTTTTCAAAAATCAAAAGATCTTTTTTGAAATGCTACAAGGAGTAGCATTTGAGAAAAGCTCGTGACTTTTAGTATTAATCAGTTCTAACAGCTTGTATACCAAACCAAACTAAATCAAACAGTCAGCTTTTTACCAAACAGCTACCAACTTTTCTTTTTAAAAATCTAGTTGTGCCAAACATACCCTTAAAAACTCAAAACTACGAGACATGTTTTCTTTAATTGGGTACTTTGATATATATTTTATTATAATTAAGTGTTTAAATTTTTTGTTTATTTTTTATGGTGCTTAAGGGCCTTTTTATACCATTCAACTCAGATCAAAAAAGTCTTAGGATCGGCCCTGGCGATACAATACATGTAATATTATATAATATAGGACATATTTGTAATTTCATTATTTCTCGATTATTATAAATATAGAGCTGGGCACCCTATTAGGGTAAGCCATTATTTCCCAATTATAAATTATTTCCCTATCAGATGCCTAGGTTTCCCTAGGTCTTCCGTAACTCTTGTCGCACGTCAACGTTATTGCGCCTTCCTCATGGCGTCTTCTTCCGCAGCCGCAGCGGTGACCTCAGCCGCGCCTGCTCCTTCTCCAGCGCCCAGCTCGACGGTTATGGCTCCTATGTCTTCTACGGTGCAGTTTTCTTCCAATTCCGTCTCTTCTCCGGCACCCGCTTCTGCCTCTCGCCAGCAGGGTTTTAACGTTTTTGTAAATAATTCAAACTTCAAGAATGATTAAATTGGTAAATATATTGAACTGAATCCAATATATCCTTGTTTTTCATGCTTCTGTTGTATCAACTCATGACCATGTGACACCATTTCCATTTGTGTAGATATTTTTATATCCTGCTTAATATAAAGTGGCAAAGTTGTTACAATTATTGGAGAGAAAATTTCGGTCCAAATTAAGTGCATCATTGAAAGAATGAAAATATGGTAAGATCGGACCATTAATGATGTTTTTTGTTGCATTGAAATTTATTGATTTGATCTGATCTGAACTGGTCTGGTAAATATTAAGTCTCTTTGTATTTTATAACTACGGAATCTGGTCTGGTTTGGGACTGAAAACAGTTCAAAAAAACATCGTGATACTCCTTATATATACTCCCTCCGTTTCACAATCTTTGACACACTTTACTTTTTTGGCTGTTTCACAATCAATGACACACTTCCTTATTTCCTTATTTGGTAAACAAATCTTTACCAAAACAGTGCAAAACAGTGCCAAACAGTGTTTAAACAATGCCAAACAGTGTTCAAATAGTGGCAAATAGTGTACTCTACAGTAAAATTTACCCCTCGATAACATTTTTTCTTTAATTTTTGACAAGTCAAAGTGTGTCAAAGATCGTGAAACGGAGAGAGTATTTCATATACTACGTACGAGTATTATTTTTGGAAAGAGACAAAACTATTTTGAAAGATATACAGAGTATGTGTCATATAACTCATAATACGTAGTACTCCGTATGTGATATGTGTATGTTAATAATTAATTGAGCACTCGTTTATGGCAAGATGCAGGTGTCAAATACTCAAATGTTTTAATTTTCAAACGGACACTTAATTATTTATTATTAGGGTCATTAAGGATTTAGGGTTAAGGCCTACTAATGTATGATGAATTGGTGAAATAATGAAATTTAACAAATTATGTTGTTATTTAGAATTAAATGTAATTAATTGATGAATTGATGAATTAATTAAACTATTTATATTTAATAAAGGGAAAAGTACATAAAGAGTACATGTGGTTTGAGCCGTTTTCAGATAGGGGCACGTGTTTTATTTTTAACAAAGTGAGAAATGTGTTTCAGTTCCGTTATCGCAGCTGGGGCATGTCGTCTAACACCGTTAAAAAAGTAACTCCGATTATCAAGTATCTGAAAAATTAAAAGAAAAATACTAGGAGGTGCGCCTCATCAAGAAGACCTCCATACCATCTTTATTTTTTTGTTTCAAACCACCATGGCACCAGTAAGTCCACCAGAAACATGATATTAGAGAATTTGTTTTTAAAAAGTAATCCAAATAGAGCCGAAAAATCTAAAGAGAACGATAGTGTGCCGGTCTCCTAGCTAGACGAGTCGTACCTCCCAGTATTTTTCTTTTAAATTTTATGAGACTTGAAAATCAAATTTATTTTTTCTGACGGCGTTAGACTTCATGCCCCAGCTGTGATAACGGAATTGAAACGCATGTCTCACTTTGTTAAAAAACGAAACACGTGCTCCAATCTGAAAATGGCCCAAACCACATGTACTTTTTCTCTACTTTTCCCTTTAATAAATTGGTATTAATATGTTTATACTTCTTATGTTGTTAGCTATGTAGCACCGATACGGGTACGTGGAAACGCGAAAACGCGGAAACGAGTACGGGGATACCGACAAAACCAAAAAAAGTAGGATACCAGATACAAGGGAATATTTATAAATATTACTACCTCTGTCCCATTTAAAGGTTCCCGTCCACTATTCACATGGTCAACTTAAATCATTCTTAATCTTTTTCTTTATATATCAAATTTATATCAAATTTAAATTTTCTTAATCAGACTTTGTAAAATTTTTTGATGTAGTTTCCGAATATATAAATTGTATTTACTAAAAATAATCAAAGTGTGAACCGTGATCAATTTGCTTTATCGTCAATTAAACATCTTAAACCAAAAAGGGAACCTCTCTATGTGACGGAGGGAGTATAAGTTATGGGGGTGAATTTATAAATATCAATTTTTTTTTGAAAATATATACATATATTATCCTCTAACCTCTACCCATTCATAACATTGAAGCATTTTACGTTATCAAGACACTTAGAAATAAATTCATATTTTGTCTCATATACACTAGTAGATCTCAACATATAAATATAATCAATAAGTCATTAATTTGAATTTTTAAAATAGGATCATCATGTTTTTATTCAGTAAATAGGAGTAATTTCTGTCAAATTTGGAAAAAACTGCTATGTTTAAAGCCTAGTAACTTGACAAAAATTACTCATATTGAGGGAATGAAAATATAGTAGTCATATTTTAGAATTTCAAAACATTTTTACTTCTATTTAGGAATATTCTTATTAGGAAAGTGAGAATTATATGTTGGAGGGTTGTGGAGAGAAAAGAGAAATGTGTAAAAATATGTAACAAATGTTGTGAACTAGATATTTTTTGTCAAAAAGAGGAAAGATAAAGTTATTTTTGGACGGGCGAAATAGGAAACATGAAAGGTAATCCAGAGATGGAGGGAGTACTTTGCGTATA